AAACTAAGTCCATACATAAGTAAAATACGGAAAAACAGGATTTTATTTTTTACAAAATTTACTTCTGGATACTATCTTATGATCATAAACAAGCTTCTTTCCAAGTTTGGTAGAAATCCAGGATAGTTTAAGAAAGTTATTAAAATTTCAAAAACTTTAACCACAGAGTGAATATATGCGGACGCCGCCGACGACGACGACGCCGACGACGGAATGTAGGATCGCTATGTCTCGCTTTTGCGACAAAAGTCGCAGGCTCGACAATAAAACCAAGTCCAAAAAAAAAACCTTGGTTTACTGAATCAAACGCAGATTTGCGTAGGTCTGTTATAATTTATGAGAAACTGGTGAATATTTTAAAGCCAGTTATAGAAAATCTTTGTATTCCTTCAGTGGCCGTTACAGACGGCAGTGTAAATATGAAGAAAAAATATAGGCAGAATATATGCACTGAAATAAGCGATAGTACAGAAAAAGGGCCCTAAATTTTGTGCATTGGTTAATATTCTTAGTAATTCATCAGCTAGTGGGGTAAGTGACCCCTTACCCCAAGAGGAAATTATACTGAATCATTTCAAATAAATTGCTTCGCAGAGCGCAGCTGGATACGACCGCAGAGGTCCAACCCTGAACAGTTGGGGCAAAATGGACACAATATTCGCACTTGATACAGGTCTGAATTTGGATTGTAATTAAATATTTGACACATAATATGTTTCTGACACAGAATAACTGTAGTCAAAGAACTTGAATTGGTTATGTGATTTGAATTTATATTCATTTTTTTGTTTTTGTATTTGTATGCTGTTGCGAATTGACCCCCTCCCCCCAAAAATTTTTTTTTACCCCCCCCCTTTTTTTTGGCAAAAAAAAATTAATATTTGAAGAAATTTTCTTTTGAATTTCTGAAATCTTGAGAACAAATTGTCCCCATCCCCAATTTTTTTTTAACCTCCCTCCCCCCCCTTTTCCAAAAAAAAAATCTTTCCCTCAAGATATGGTCATAATCTCAATTCAAATTTCCAATGGAGTTTGCAACTATAATAACCCATTTAAATACATCATAAAAGTCTTTAAATAGAAAATGACATACATAATCATGGCTTAATTTTAAATTACCTTCATCAGCATTTTTAAAATAGTAACTTCTAAAAATAAATTGACTGCTAATTACCTCAAAACAATACAACATTTCTTTATATATAATTTAAAAGCAGTGTAAGGCAGGTATTTCAAATGTTGTGCTTGAATTACCTCCCTTGCACTGCTTTTAAATTATTTTTTGTACTTCAAGTAATTGTCCATTAACAAGGACACCCTTGTTTTCCCCCCTTTTTGCCCCTAATTCCTAAACGGTTTGAGCCATAACCCCCCAAAGCCAATTCTTACCATCCCTTTGTGGTATGGAAACTTGTGGTATAATTTTAGAGAGATCATACACCAATCCACAAGTTATTGTCTGGAAACTTGTGGTATTGAACCTTGTGGTACAATTTCAGAGCAATCAAAATACTTATACACAAGTTATTGTCCTGAAACTAGAAAAATGCTTATTTGGGCCCCTTTTTGGCCCCTCATTCCTAAACTGTTAGGACTATAACCCCCAAAATCAATCCCAACCTTCCTATTGTGGGTGTTAACCTTGTGTTTAAATTTCATAGAACTGTAGTTATTGTCCGGAAACCAAATGTCTTCGGTCGACGCTGACGAAGTGATACCAATATAAGACCGCAAAATTTTTTACGGTCGTAAGAAAACTTAATACTGAAAATTTTGACTTAAATCAGTTTAAAAAAACACAGTACAATGTTTTTAAAATTTAAAAGTCGAATTGACTCTAAGAGTGATAATAAACATGATTAAACAAATTCTTATAATGAAAGAATCATACCACAGGAAATAATAAAAGCTATCAAATTATTAAAGAATGGTAAGAGTGCTATATGTGACAAAAAATAGAACAGCTGATCATGTGTTTTCTTTTAAATCTATTACTGAATTTTATAAAAGTAAAAAGAAAATGTATTTTCAGCCTTCATTGACTTAAAAAAAAAAAGGCTTATGATTCTGTATGGAGGACAGGGCTATTTTACTTACTCCACAAACATAATGTGCCAAAAAATATTGTTGATGTTATCCAATCAATGTATAATGATACTAGAAGTAAAATTAAATTCACAAATGGGCTCAGTGAATAATTTTTATCAGACAGGAGTGTTAAGCAAGGAGATGTTCTGAGTCCTCTGCTGTTTAACATTTTTATAAATAATATCATTGACAGGTTGAAATGTAATAATAATGACCCTGTGGTGATTGGTGATATTTCTATTAACTGCATATTATATGCAGATGAACTTGTACTTTTTATCAAGCAGTCCTAATGGACTGCAAACATGTTTAAGTGTATTGTTTGAATTTTGTTCCAACCTGTAAATTAGAAGTCAATTTGATAAAGTCTAAGGTACTTATATTCAATTCAAATGGAAAATCATTTTTGAATTATTTTAAATAAAATAGAAATGTTATAGATACTGTCAATCAATATTGTCACTTAGGTATCTGTTATGGTAACTTTAATTTAGCCATTTTTGTGTTGATGGAAAAAGCTAGAAAAGCTTATTTAAAAAAAAAAAAAAAAAAACACAGGTGGGTTAAGCAACCCATGTAAACTATCAGAGAAATGTTTTGATTCAGTAATATCACCAATATTGTTATATTGTTGTGAAGTTTGGGGTATAGAGAAGGCAGTGGCTATTTTGCCGGCTCTAGGTATTACCAATCACTGGTATACGTAAGCCAATTTCGTTTACAGATCTATATGCAATTTAAAGAACTGACTTATATTTCAAAAGCATATTTAATTTAAACATTTTTGATTTTGGCAGATTGGATAATGTTTTATCAAATCTGCATGCAATTAGATTTTTAACATTTATTTTTTTATAACATACAGTTAAAAAATCTGAGATTTTATTCTTGTGCATACATGTAGCTTTAGCTTGTGACTGATTTTAGAAGTAATTTTAACTACAAGTTTTATATGATTTGACATTGCTACAAGTAGATGCTCAATATTTTTATTTTTATTTCTTTTTGCAAATTCTAATTTTTACTTTTAGCATATTTTCTATTATGCCAGCACCCTACTGAGAATGCTTAAAAAATCGTGACTCTGACCCTTATGAAATATTTCACATCAAATTTGTTAAAGAACGATGCAAGTAGAGCTGAATTAGCTAGATTTCCCTTAAGAACAAAAATCATTATTAAATACTTGGACCATTTAGTTAAATCTGATCATACATTAGCTCATAATTTATTCAAAGCCAGTTGGAAAACAAATCCTTGAACAATTAATATTGTAACATGTCTCCAAAGGGTTGAAATAAAAATATTAAAATTTTGTAATCAATTAAATCAGCGCAGTTTAGATCAAAACTTACAAGATCAACACTCCAAATTTTTTTTATTCTGAAAAATTAGATTGTTTCCATAATATTTCAAAGGTAGGAGAACGTACACCATATGTTGATCAACTTACTTTCAAGTTTGATCGTTCTGTTATAGCTAAAATGAGATTAAGTGCTCATTCCCTTGAAATAGAAAAAGGGAGATATAACAGAATGGTAAGAAATAAAAGATTTTGTAAAGTGTGTACACACAACAAGATTAAAGATGAAAATCACTTTATTTGGCATTGCCTTAATAATCAAAAGGAAAGAGAAATCCTTGTGACAAAATTGTCTAAAATTTACCCAAATTTTAGAAATATACATAATGATAACATAAAGTCAAAAGTATTGTTAAACAGTGAGTCAGTAAAAATAACAAAATATGTTATAATTGCATTTCTGAATTGTTGAAAGTTAGAAATAATGTTTTACAAAACCATTTATAATATTAAACATCAATATCCTGTTCAGAAAGTATTATTTAGTTGTATTTTTGTATTTTTGTAATTTTTTTTTTATGAATTTCTATACCATGTACTAAATTGAGTCTTTACCAATTGTTATAATTGCATTTGTGCTAATAAAATGTTGTCTATTATCATCTATTTATTCACAACATTTTCACACTCAAGGATATTTTGAGTTTAAAAGAGGCTGATGACTTAATATCTTCAGCGCTGGAGTTTTTATATTTTATAGAGCTAGAAAAAAATCTTAACTGTTTACCTGATAAACAGGACTACGACGTTTTGTCGTCGTCAGCTGTGTGTTTAGATGCAAACTTTGTCCTGTTGAGTATCTATTTCTCTGCTTGATTCCCAAAATTTCTCTTGTCTAATATTGTTGCTGGATGAAATCACTGTGTCTTGCTTTGTGTTTTGTCCTATTTTGTATAACATGTCCTTTTTTGTTGAGGTTTGAAGATGCATTAGTTTTGCTTTGTCAGAAAGGACACTTAATGTACCTAACTTCGCCTCTCTTTTACCTAGTGGTGTTATTTTGATCCTGATGCCTGATGATAAAAGTCCAATATCTCTTCAAGGGACCAGAAGGGGTTCCAATTAATTATATTTTCAAATATCGTCTGAACCACAAAATTAATTTAAACCAAACTTACCAACTACGTTTCTGTGATTAACATTAACAAGTCGTTAAGTCATTAACGAAATATGTAACTTGCAAAAAGGTTGACAACATAACAAAAGTACACATGCTGACCTGTCTCGTCTGCTTTACAGATCATGATTGCATGGTTTAATGTTAAAAGTCTTAAAGATAAAGATTTTACAGTAAAGTATCACATTAACTTAACATTATCAATGATCCATGATAATAGGGTCCTGAAAGACATGTACACCTTACAAGCATTTCATTCATCAAATATAGTTGGAGGTTTAAGATCAAGGGTCAACAATTCTAGTTGAAGATCACAACTAAAACTAGGTACCTACTGTCCCTGCCATTAAATTATAATCACCCTTTGCTCAAAAAGGTGCTGTGAAAGTTCATTATGTTAAAGCTTTAAATTATTCAGATATAAGAATATGACAGTATTAAATATTTATTGTTGACAAAACAGTTCTTCATCAAGACATTTATGTAAATATTTCTGCTGTACTGTTATTAATAAATAACCCTTGTCTTATTACAGCTACTTAAGTCTTAACAACTTCTAATGCAAACCTTCCAAAAGATTTCATGATTATTTACACTTGACTAATTGTGTTTAAACCATCATTGTCTACATTTTCTAGGTAAACAAGTACATTGTCTACATACATATTTCTCAGATAACAGTATGTTCAGAATTGTTTTGCTTCATTCAGACACCGTTCTTACTGGATAAATGCCTTTTCCTCATCCTTTCCACATTGCTTCATGATTGTATATCAAAATATTTGCTGACTTTTCAGCATTTTCATCTCATTGATATTTTGACTTTTTGACGCATTTATTAGGTCTTTTTCCAACTGAGTTATATGATTCAACTGTTTTTGCAGTTCATTTTCATCTTCAGAACTTATGCCTTGTTTGTTTTGGTACTGGCAAGATAATCTTGCACTGAAAAAAAAAATCTTAAAAAGTTTAAAATATATGAAGACTTTATATGACTGACAATAAGACAGCAAAAATATGTTCAGCAAAGACAAGGATTAAACATTTACAGGTAAACCCTGTGTACATACCTCTGATAATTACATACTTGTAAGTCTATCTAACTTTTGTTTAAAAGGTTTTATTCCAAATGAAAAAGTTACATCCAAATATTCAAATACTGGATGACTTTTGTGTTGTTGGGTTGCTGCCTTATGGACCTTCTCTGGAAAAAGCTGAAATCGACAAGTGTGCAAAATTCTGTAAAAATAGCTACATCATTTGCTAGAATTGGTTGCAAAATGATTGAGAAAATGATATGCTGTCAGAAAAATTTCGACTGTAAGTAATATTTATTGAACTGCAGTAAGTTTATTTTGTGAATAACAAATATGAACATCATCAAAATAATTGCAATTAAAGGTAATATCTCCTATTCATTTCTACTTTTCCAAACATTAACAATTTATCCATGTCTGTGCGAATTTCAACACACTTTCTATCATTTTATAGAAGTTTACACAAATTTGAAAATACCTACCATAAATGACCTGGCACACCAAACTACAGATATATTAATGGTTTGTACCTACCAATGACATGGTACAACAAACTACAGATATATGAATGGTTTGTATCTACCAATGACATGGTACAACAAACTACAGATATATTTATGGTTTGTACCTACCAATGACATGGTACAACACACTACAGATATATGAATGGTTTGTATCTACCAATGACATGGTACAACAAACTACAGATATATGAATGGTTTGTACCTACCAATGACATGGTACAACAAACTACAGATATATGAATGGTTTGTATCTACCAATGACATGGTACAACAAACTACAGATATATTTATGGTTTGTACCTACCAATGACATGGTACAACACACTACAGATATATGAATGGTTTGTATCTACCAATGACATGGTACAACAAACTACAGATATATGAATGGTTTGTACCTACCAATGACATGGTACAACAAACTACAGATATATGAATGGTTTGTACCTACCACAGTACAACAAACTACAGATCTATGAATGGTTTGTACCTACCAATGACATGGTACAACAAACTACAGATATATGAATGGTTTGTACCTACCACAGTACAACAAACTACAGATATATGAATGGTTTGTACCTACCACAGTACAGCAAACTACAGATATATGAATGGTTTGTACCTACCACGGTACAACAAACTACAGATATATGAATGGTTTGTACCTACCAATGACATGGTACAACAAACTACAGATATATGAATAGTTTGTACCTACCAATGACATGGTACAACAAACTACAGATATATGAATGGTTTGTACCTACCACAGTACAACAAACTACAGATATATGAATGGTTTGTACCTACCAATGACATGGTACAACAAACTACAGGTATATGAATGGTTTGTACCTACCAATGACATGGTACAACAAACTACAGATATATGAATGGTTTGTACCTACCAATGACATGGTACAACAAACTACAGATATATGAATGGTTTGTACCTACCACAGTACAACAAACTACAGATATATGAATGGTTTGTACCAACCAATGACATGGAACAACAAACTACAGATATATGAATGGTTTGTACCTACCAATGACATGGTACAACAAACTACAGATATATGAATAGTTTGTACCTACCAATGACATGGTACAACAAACTACAGATATATGAATGGTTTGTACCTACCACGGTACAACAAACTACAGATATATGAATGGTTTGTACCTACCACGGTACAACAAACTACAGATATATGAATGGTTTGTACCTACCACCAACAAACTACAGATATATGAATGGTTTGTACCTACCACCAACAAACTACAGATATATTAATGGTTTGTACCTACCACCAACAAACTACAGATATATGAATGGTTTGTATCTACCAATGACATGGTACAACAAACTACAGATATATGAATGGTTTGTACCTACCAATGACATGGTACAACACACTACAGATATATGAATGGTTTGTACCTACCAATGACATGGTACAACAAACTACAGATATATGAATGGTTTGTACCTACCAATGACATGGTACAACAAACTACAGGTATATGAATGGTTTGTACCTACCACAGTACAACAAACTACAGATCTATGAATGGTTTGTACCTACCAATGACATGGTACAACAAACTACAGATATATGAATGGTTTGTACCTACCACAGTACAACAAACTACAGATATATGAATGGTTTGTACCTACCACAGTACAGCAAACTACAGATATATGAATGGTTTGTACCTACCACGGTACAACAAACTACAGATATATGAATGGTTTGTACCTACCAATGACATGGTACAACAAACTACAGATATATGAATAGTTTGTACCTACCAATGACATGGTACAACAAACTACAGATATATGAATGGTTTGTACCTACCACAGTACAACAAACTACAGATATATGAATGGTTTGTACCTACCAATGACATGGTACAACAAACTACAGGTATATGAATGGTTTGTACCTACCAATGACATGGTACAACAAACTACAGATATATGAATGGTTTGTACCTACCAATGACATGGTACAACAAACTACAGATATATGAATGGTTTGTACCTACCACGGTACAACAAACTACAGATATATGAATGGTTTGTACCTACCACCAACAAACTACAGATATATTAATGGTTTGTACCTACCACCAACAAACTACAGATATATGAATGGTTTGTATCTACCAATGACATGGTACAACAAACTACAGATATATGAATGGTTTGTACCTACCAATGACATGGTACAACACACTACAGATATATGAATGGTTTGTACCTACCAATGACATGGTACAACAAACTACAGATATATGAATGGTTTGTACCTACCAATGACATGGTACAACAAACTACAGATATATGAATGGTTTGTACCTACCACGGTACAACAAACTACAGATATATGAATGGTTTGTACCTACCACCAACAAACTACAGATATATTAATGGTTTGTACCTACCACCAACAAACTACAGATATATGAATGGTTTGTATCTACCAATGACATGGTACAACAAACTACAGATATATGAATGGTTTGTACCTACCAATGACATGGTACAACACACTACAGATATATGAATGGTTTGTACCTACCAATGACATGGTACAACAAACTACAGATATATGAATGGTTTGTACCTACCAATGACATGGTACAACAAACTACAGATATATGAATGGTTTGTACCTACCACGGTACAACAAACTACAGATATATGAATGGTTTGTACCTACCACCAACAAACTACAGATATATTAATGGTTTGTACCTACCACCAACAAACTACAGATATATGAATGGTTTGTATCTACCAATGACATGGTACAACAAACTACAGATATATGAATGGTTTGTACCTACCAATGACATGGTTCAACAAACTACAGATATATGAATGGTTTGTACCTACCACAGTACAACAAACTACAGATATATGAATGGTTTGTACCTACCACAGTACAACAAACTACAGATATATGAATGGTTTGTACCTACCAATGACATGGTACAACAAACTACAGATATATGAATGGTTTGTACCCACCATGGTACAAAGTACAAAATTAAATATTTCCATTATACTACTTATTTTCGAATGTCTATAATTTTGCAGCTGATAAAGACATTAACTCTAAATTAAGAAAAAAGAGTTTCTTGTATCATCTTGTAATAATATACAAAGTTTTAAAAAATGTGTTATAGTACATCAGCAGATAACTTTTTCCAGATAAGTTTATCAACAAAAAGCAGTAAACAACTTTTTGAAATATATATATAAAAAACACAAACAGTCAACTTTAAAATTTTTTGTCATTCTTCAGAAAGGATTCTTTGGAATAGAAATTTAACTTCACTTTCTGCTATAAAGATGATGTCCTCTCACTTAATAAGTTTGGTGACTATATGTTGAACACATCTATCCCATCGAACTTGAGATAAAGGATACAACAGATACAGTTAAGTCTATTTCATATCTTGACTTACATCTAGAAATTGACAATGAAAGTCCGTTGGAAACAAAATTTTACGACAAAATAGATGATTTCAGTTTCCAGATTATGAACTTTCCATTTCTATGTAGCAACATTCCAGCAGCGCCTGCATATGGAGTATATATCTCCCAGTTGATACAATAATCCAGGGTTTGCATTTCCTATCATGATTTCCTTGATAGAGGGTTGCTGCTTTTTCAAAGAATAACATCAATAGATATTAACAATTCACCCAAGTTTCATGAAAACTGCTCAAAGCACTTTTGAGTTAATAGTCCGAAAACAGAAAAATCACCCTTTTTCAATGAATAACACCCCATAACTTGGAAAGGTAAAATCTAAAATTTATATAAATCGAAAGGCAGCTCATTTTAATAGATATAAATAATTCATAAAAGTTTCATGAAAACAGCTTAAAGCATTTTTGAGTTATTGTCTGAAAACTGGAAAATCCCCCCATTTTTAATGAATTAAACCCCACAACTCGGAAACGTAAAAACTAAAATTTATATAAATCGAAAGGCAACTCATTTCAATAGATATAAGTAATTCATCAAAGTTTCATGAAAACAGCTTAAAGCATTTTGAGTTATTGTCTGAAAACTGGAAAATCACCCCCTTTTTTAATGATAAACACCCCATAACTTCGAAACATAAAATCTAAAATTTATAAAAAACGAAAGGGAGCTCACGTCAATAGATATAAACAATTCACCATGGGGGCTAGGATGAAAAATTTTGTCCTGCATTTTTTTTTAGTTGTAATCTCTGTCCTGCCTTTTTATTTTTCACTCTATTTGGTCCTGCCTTTTTTTTTTATTAGTTTATCCTGACTTTTTTAAAAATTGTCATCCTGCCTTTTTTTTTGCCAAATTGCTCATCCTGCCTTTTTTTTTACTCAAAACTCCTGTCCTGCCTTTTTTTTCAAATTTCATCCTAGCCCCGCATAAAAATCAAATGGTAGCTCCCTTACCTATGGTTATGTAATGGATAATCGATTGAACTTAAATATACACCTTATTTCTCCTCTGTGTTTTGCCAGTTTATAGAGAGTCTGAGCACCATCTGAAAATCCTTCATTGAACCCATTCTGAAGTTTTGATTCTTTCCCTAATGTTAATCCCTCTCTGTATCCACCCTGCAACAGATATAATAATGATATAATACATGCACATTTCTCACAAATTTACAAAGACAATGTTTATCAATTTCTATGTTGTGTTTCATATACTGTTTGTCTTTTGGTCATTTTTCACTTTTTGTCATGGCATTTCGTTTTCGACTTTAGAGTTTGATTATCCCTTTGGTATATTTCAACCAGCCAGCAGTATTTTTAACATTGCCATATAAGTGGGAGGTATGGCTAGCCATAAAATCAGGTTTAACCCACCAATTTTTCTTAAAATGTCCTGTACCAAGTCAGGAATATGACAGTTGTTATCTACAGTCCATTTCTATGTATGTTGGCGTTTGTTTTTGTTGTAGTTCAGTGTTTCTGTTGTCCCCTTGTTTTCCTTTTATAGTTGATGTGTTTCCCTTGGTTTAAGTTTGTTACCCGGATTTGTTTTTGCTCAATCGATTTATGAATTTTGAACAGGGGTATACTACTGTTGCCTTTTTTATTCAATTCTCTTTTAGAGAAGACCATACAAATCAAAGTAAAAAAAACCCAGAAAATGAGGGAATCACATGAACTCCAAAAGAAGTGAGATTTGGGTAGGGTCACTTTTACCGTTTTACTCTGTAACAGAATTGAAAGATACTAAGAGGACATTCAAAACTAAGCCAACAGACCACAAAAAAGACAACACAAATAAAATAAATGTGGATAGTGTCCACATGTGGACACAGATGATGCCCCCGCTTGCATATCATATAGTTATAAAGGGACATAACTGAAGAACGGTAAAAGTGACCCTACCCAAATTTGAACTTGATCTGAGTTTTGTGGTAATAAGCATTGTGTGTAAGTCTCATAACATTTGGTTGAGGCTAACTTAAGTAGAGAACAGAAACTAAAAATTCAGCAATTTTTCTATTTGTAAACACGCATAACTCTAGAATGGTTGTGTATAAGTTTTATAACATTTGGTTGAGACAAACTAAAAAATTCAGCAATTTTTATGTTTATAAAGGGACATAACTCAAGAATGGTAAAAGTGTCGTCACCAAATTTGGTTCTTACTCTGTATTATGTAGTAATAAGGATTGTGTATAAGTTTCATAACATTTGGTTGAGGCAAACTAAAGTTAGAAAACATAAACAAAAATTGTACTTGATCTTAGTTTTGTGGTAATGAATATTGTGTATAGGTTTCGTAATGTTTGGTTGAGGCAAACTTAAGTTACAGAATGGAAACTAAAAATTTTGCAATCTTTCAATTCATAAAAGGCATAACTCAATAATGGTTAAAGTGACACTACCCAAATTCAACTTGATCTGTGTTTTATCAGCGGAAATCAAAATTAAACATTGCATTGTATAAAGCATTGATTGTAGTTGATTCAACTATAATCATGGACAAAGGAAGATAACTCCAATTTTAAAAATTACTTCATATTTATAAAGGGGCATAACTCTAGAACAGTTAAAGTGACGCCACCAAAATTCAAACTTGATCTGTGTTTTGTGGTAATGAGCATTGTGTATAAGTTTCATAACATTTGGTTGAGGCAAACTTAAGTTAGGGAACGGAAACTAAAAATTTTGCAATCTTTCCATTTATAAAGGGCATAACTCTAGAACGGTTAAAGTGACGCCACCAAAATTCAAACTTGATCTGTGTTTTGTGGTAATAAGCATTGTGTATAAGTTTCATAACATTTGTTTGAGGCAAACTCAAGTTAGAGAACGGAAACCAATTTTGGGACGTATGGACGGATGTACGTACGTACAGACGGACAAGGGTAAAACTTATTGCCCCCACCGCTATGGCGGGAGCATAAAAAAATACATAAATAAACCATCAAAAATGGTGGTGATCTCAGGTGCTCCGGAAGGGTAAGCAGATCCTGATACATGAGAGGCACATGTAATGTTTATCATGACAAGTACAAATCAGGTGATGTCACATACTATCAAGGGAAAGATGACGAAATTGGTATTAATAAGGAAAAAATCTGTGGTCATCTGTGATAGATGGTACAATAGTTATCAAAGGTACCAGGATTATAATTTAATACGCCAGACGCGCATTTCTTCTACATAAGACTCATCTGTGATGCTCAGATCAAAATAGTTATAAAACCAAACAAGTACAAAGTTGAAGAGCATTGATGACCCAAAATTCCAAAAATTGTGCCAAATAGGGCTAAGCTAATCTATTCCTGGGATAAGAAAATCCTTAGTTTTTCGAACAATATGTAAGCAATAATCCTTTATCAAGGAAATCATGATAGGAAAGAAAATGATATAACATCAAGATTCTGCCTTGACTATGGTAAATTAAATCAATTACATTCATTTTTAGTCATCCTTTTCCATGAATTTTTATACAAACTAGATACCTTTCTTGGGGAAAAAGGGGGGGGGAGAGTGGCTTAGCATAAAGGACCTCAAATTGGCAACAAAGAATTTACAAAATAGGTAAAACTGTGTTCGTTTTTTCTTCAAACTGGATACCTCCTAAAGGATTTGTAACTACATTTGTAACTTATGATTAAGGATAAAATTTACATAAGATGATGTAAAATATTTAAAATTTTCTTCTTTGAAAATTTGAGATTAATATTATATAGCAAGCAGGCTTAAAATTAAGTCATGATAATCTCAAATTCAAAGAAACTTAGTGTTATGACTATTATTGAATCCATGTATCAGATTATTGCATCCATGTTAAAGATTATTGCATCTATGTATTAGTTTAATGCATTCAAATGGACCTCGACCTTTCTTCCTCAGAACAAGGAGAATTGGAACAGATTAACATTATCTGAAGTGGAGTCCACCACATATAACCTAGACAGCAGGATATCAAGTATACAAAGTTGTAAATATAGATTGATTTTACTCCATTTTTACTTATGATTAATCTAGAGATACATCAGAGACAATTACACAAAAAAAATGTAAATGTTGAAATTCAAACAAAAACAAACAGGTATTAAAAACGTGTATAATGTTAATTTGGTATTGTTGTCACAGTGTTCCCCACTGCCCATAATTTGCAATAAACTGTGATTTATGAATAGCAAATGACATTGTGTAAAGCTTAAACATCTAATAACAATAAGTATAAAAAAAACAATATGTTATTATCCAAATAACACTTGTAATGACCGAATAACACTTGACTGTAAATCATTTTTAAGTTATATAATACACTTATAATATAATATTATTTAATAATCAATGTTTAAATGTCACCAATATGTGCTAATATTAAAAATTCAAGTGTTATTCGGTCATTACAAGTGTTATTTGGATAATAACGGTGTTATTCGGTCATTCGAGGTTACCGAATTTCTTCATCACTCTTGTTTCATCTCCTTTTGAATAAAATATGGACCAAGACACATAAAATAGAAGTGACTGTAAAATACAATATTAATATCATCTGCTTACGAATACAAGAATAAATAAATTATAGTTTATTTACTTATGCAGTTCATTCAAATTTTGTTGTACCACTAAATGTCTGGAAAAAAAAGAATAAAACACTGCCTATCAAGATTTATCACTTAACACTGAAGGCTTGCTTCAGTGGTGTTTCAGGTAACAGCTGTCTCATGTTATTTACTTTTTTGATTATATTTAAGTAAAAAGTTGAATAAATGGAAATATAGTATAGTTATAAGTGTATTAAGACACCTCCAATAGTCCTGACTGTATCTTTTCCCATTCCTTTGATACAATATAATCATCATCTATATCTTCATCGAATATGTCATCTGTTTTCTCTTGGTTTTCAAAATGATTGCCCATAGAGTTTTTGTCTGCCATTTTAAGAGTCATGTGATCAGGTATATTACATTGAAGTGTTTAGTCAATAAGTAAGGAAAAGTGTATACTAATATTTTCATCATTCTTTTGGTCTTTTGTTTTATCTTAAGTACTCGTAAATATTGATGACGATTGAAAATCATTGAAAGGCAATAGTCACGAAGTTTATCGCATTTTATTAAAGCAAATAAGGTTACGGTAGTATTAATTACTTCAACACTACACCATTCTTTTCTCCCGCAGAATAATTGAACTTCCAGAACAGTTTATAAAGAACCAATTTCTTAGTAAAAACAAACACCACCTGTTAGCATTCTATCAGATATTAAGTAGAAAGATCATAAAGCCACTCTGTAAACTAATTCATGAACTGTCATATAGTTTTTACTCACCTGTACCGCACTTACACAAGCACCTTACCACGAGTGGCACTTGTCTCAGTTTTATTTACCTAGATATATAACACAAAGTATTCTTGTTTTTTGTGACTTTGTATTGTACCATCATGTTACATGAGTGAATAGAAATGAATTTATCACTTTGATGTATAATAATGATCATGACTAATTAAAAACTAATTACTTTGCATTCCTGAAATTAGTATACAATTTAAAATTTATTAAACATTCTCATTATTATACAATTTTAATCACTTTGATCTTTAATATTTTTTCTTATCTAATTATTTTTAAATAACAATTATTTTAAAGATTGAATTTAAATGCAAAGTTACAAATAATAATCATATATATACATAAATTTATTGTTGACTCAATTACTTCAATCATCATGATCATTGTATCTGATTAATGCTCTTTATTGGCTCTGTAATATTTGGAAAAATTAAATATTCTATTCTATACATACATATCTATTGTCTGTGTATTGCATATGTTATTGTTTATAATTATATTGTTTGTATGCTACTTTATGCCCTCCTGGGGCCCTAATTTGGTGAATAAAAATATTCTATTCTGTTCTATTCATACAAAGAATGATAAATAATGCATTGGTTTTGGGAATTTTAATTCATTTTATAAAAATTAAATGGAAGGAAAAAAATATTTTTAGTGTTAAGGTCAAGGTACAGTAAATGGGCTATGTCACAGATTTTCTTAAAATTTTGCATATACCTTTGGCTCGTAAAAAACCATGTACCCTTCATGTCTAAGTTTATATATCCAAAAATCGAAAAATAATGCCTTTATCTCTTTTTTCTGAAATACTACTGATTGAATTCTTTCAAAATACAGGAGCCCATTTGTATAGAAAACACATAAAATCAGTGAAAAACGTTCTTAAATTTGTCTTTAAATCATCAAATTTATAATTTTTTTTCCATAGATTTTTCTTAAAAAACTATATGTTGTTGGTACAAAAATTTTCGTTTTAATAATGTAAAATAATAATAGGGTCACCGACTTCGTTTCAAAGTGGTGTACTAGGTGAAAAAATACCCCAAAACGCCGAAATAATCATAACGTCATCACGTTGTATACCTTAAAATGTTGATTTTTGACGTTTTTCACTATCAATAAGGTTTGTACACAAAAAAACAAAGTCGGTGACCATATGATTATTTTATATTACTAAAACAGTTTATGTATCAAAATCATATAGTTTTTTAAGAAAAATCTATGTAGTAAAAAATTTAAAATTTGATGATTTTAAGGTAAATTTATGAATCTTTTTTGTTGATTTCATGTGCTTCATATACAAATATTCACCTATTTTGAAGAATTCAATCAGTTAGTATTTCAGAAATAAAAGAGATAAGGTTATTATTTTTTATGATTTTCAGATATAAAAACTTAGACATGAACATCATGAACATGATGAAGGGTACATGGTTTTTCAATTTTTGTAACAAAATTGGAATTTTGGTTTCTTTCGACTGCAAAATATCAATAAATATTCTTCATATTTCAGACCTAACAGTTTAAACTTTACACGTATATAATGATGATTTTCTAGCTTAAACCACTTGGTTTTGTAATACTCCATTTTAGAAGGCTGAAAAGGGCCCTATCCAATCTCTTTCTTTTAATAAAAAAAACTAAATTTGTTTCAGGAAGAAAGTGAGAAAAAAAATTGTTTGCTTTCATTGAAATTTAGGAAAAAATATCGATTCAACATTAAGTTTAAAAAAGTTCTTGTTCCAGATATGGTATTGAAAAAAATTGTTTGTTTTAAGTTGAAATAGATAAAACATTGCAAGTTGAAATATAGACAAAACATTGCAAGTTGAAATAGATAAAACATTGCAAGTCCCAAGAAAAGATCCATGCTCCCCCCCGCACACACACACAAAAGATGGATGGTCTGTGCTTTAACTGATCAAGGCAAGGAAGGAATTCCAAACCTAAATCAACATGAGAAACCCAATTTTCTTGAGAATTAGTATATTTTGTTCATCATATTGTAATTGTTTAAATTCAAATGTTTCTTCTGCAGAGATGATGAAAGTGATAATAAATACTTTGATCATATTCAGTAAATTAGTGAAATAAAGTTGCTTGCAAAGTAAAGACTTGCAGAAAAATTCAAACGTGAGATGTAGACTGATAAATAAGTAATTTAAAAATGGTTCTTTTTTTCTATTACAGGGTTGTCTTTCAACTGGAGGCCTCAATTTTTCAAGTTATTTATTCAGAGATCAGTTTCTTCATTCATTGTCATAGTTACCAGAAAATATGTAAGTGATGTCTTTAATTAATCAACTTCACCTTAATCAGAGACATGTATAGCATGTAGTATATATGCCTCTGCTCTAATACAGTCTTAACTGACCACAGTTAATATATCATGTGTTACATAATTAAATATACAATTTATAAAACATTTGACTGATTACACAAATTCTTGACCTTAGTAGTAAACCTATTATTTATTTTGATCTACACTACATAAAATTGTTCTGTTGATTTTGTGTGAAAGCTGAATCAATAAGATGTGTTTTTGTCTTGCCTGCAATGAATTTTGTCATGTGAATTTCTCACTTATTATGAGTAATAGGATAAATATATTTGGTATATGGGTTCCTTGCAAAGTCTACATGTCCATCAGACAGAGTTCACCTGACCTCCACCTCATTTCATGGATCAGTGATCAAGGTTAAAGTTAAGTGATTAGGTTCGTTTCTCAAATACTATTAAGTAATAGGTCAACTATATTTGGTGTATGGAATCATTGTAATGGGTACATGTCAGTCTGGCAGGTTTCATCTGACCTTGAGCTCATTTTCATGGTTCATTGGTCAATGTTAAGTTATTGTGTTTTGGTCTGTTTTTCAAGTACTATAAGCAATAGGTCAACTTTATTTGGTGTATGGAATGATTGTAAGGTGTACAAGTCTGTCTGGCAGGTATCATCTGACCTTGACCTCATTTTCATGGTTCATTGGTAAATGTTAAGTTTTTGTGTTTTTGTCTGTTTTTCAAGTACTATAAGCAATATACAGTCGAACCTCGTTGTGTCGAAGTCGAAGGGACCGGACCAAAGTATTCGACTCATCCGAGGTTCGACTCATCCGAGGTCAAGTGTGTCGTCATAAATTTGGAATGCATTAAATATGGTATGAGATTTGTGTAAACTAGATACAATGAACAGTGTGCCTTTTTTTCGATATGACACTTTATGATTGTGTATTCAATCTCCATTTTTGGTCCTTCTTAATAATTAAACACAAAAGTACAGATACAAATCATGCACAAATAAAATCAATAGTCTACACATTTATTTACAAAGGTCAGTCACTATAAATTATGAAATCACTGGTAGTACGAAATAAGTTCTGAACGGTCTCTGATGAGGTCGTCTGCTTTACATTAAATTATCATGAATTTATTATAATTGTCATAATCCTTTTATTTATTGTAATTAATGAGTTTTAAATCTAACGATTCATTTAATCTCGGCTTGGGTCATTTAAATTCGTTTCGTTTTTATCTCAGGTGAAAAATGTTCAACACACTAACATTCCACTTGAACGATCAACAAAGGTGTTACTTAGCGGTCACCATAAACATGTCATTTTAACTGTTATACAAACATGTATATTTACTCAGCTTTAATCTCTTTTGAAAATGATTAGGTGACATAAGAAATACATCCGATTTGAATTTTTATCATGAGGTCTGCATCTTTCGTAAATTCTTACTTTCGAACTTCAAGACATCGGGGTCAATTTACATTAATTTTACTTCGACGGGACTATAAAATATCTCGACTTAACCGAGTATTCGAATCAACCGAGTTCGACTCATCAGAGGTAATTATGCATTGATCAAACCGGAATTTTAACGGGACCGAGAAATTACTTCGACTCATCCGAGATTTCGACACAACTGAGTTCGACACAACGAGGTTCGACTGTATCAATTATATGTATGGAATGATTGTAAGGTGAACAAGTCTGTCTGGCAGGTATCATCTGACCTTGACCTCATTTTCATGGTTCATTGGTAAAGTTAAGTTTTTGTGTTTTTGTCTGTTTTTCAAGTACTATAAGCAATATATCAATTATATTTAATGAATGAAATGATTGTAAGGTGTACATGTCTATCTGGCAGGTATTGTCTGACCTGGTCTCATTTTTATGGTTCATTGGTCAATGTTAAGTTATTGTGTTTTGGTCTGTTTTTCAAGTACTATAAGCAATAGGTCAACTATATTTGGTTTTCGAATAATTGTTAGGTGTCCATGTCTTCCTAGCCGGTGTCATGTGACCTTGACCTCATTTTCATGGTTCAATGGTCAATGTTAAGTTTTTGTGTTTTGGTCTGTTTTACAAATACTAATAGCAATAGGTTAACTATAATTGGTGTATGGAATGATTGTAAGGTGTACATGTCTGTCTAGTCAGTATCATCTGACCTTGACCTCATTTTCATGGTTCATTGGTTAATGTTAAGTTTTTGTGTTTTGGTCTGTTTTTCTATTACCATAAGCAATGGGTCAACTATATTTGGTGTATGGAATAATTGTAAGGTGTACATGTCTGTGTGACAGTTT